AACAGTTCTGCAGGTAAATCTAAACTGAAATGTGATGATATTCGTGATTTGATTTTGGCTGAGGAGGTTTGTAGGGAAGATTATGGCGAGATCTCATGTTCGAGTTTAGCTCTGAATGTTGATTTCATAGGGAAATTGTATGACAGGAATTCAAATAAAGGGAGATCAAAATCAAAGTCTGGTCAGCAGACAACTTGCTGGAATTTTGCAAGGCTGGTCACATAAAATAGAAATTGCAGAAATCCCAATAATATGAAGAATGATAGCACAAATGTGGTATCTGAAGAATTACAGGATGCACTATTGCCGGCAGTTCATAGTTCTGGTGATGATGGAAGTGAAGAGGAAAGTGAGTCCGGCGCACCCATTCCTATTGTTCCACAGACAGATGTTAGAGAACGAAAGTTACGAAGAAATCTTGCAATATGAAAGTTCGAGCAAGTGAGAACTGACAGAACTTCCACCAGGAAAGAAGACATTACAGAACAAATGAGTGTACCAGGAGAAGACTGAGCATGATGACAGTAAGAGATACAAGACTAAACTTGTTGAAAAAGGCTTTCAGCAGATGCAGGATATTGCCCATGCAATGAGAGTTGTAAGCAGAGACAAAAGTAATTTAGGAAATAGCTTGGAGGTGCAAGGCTATTTGGACTCTGCTGATATGTTGACTGAGGGTGTTACTCTTGAGAAACTGAAGTTGTGTACAACTTCAGTTGGTCTTCTGGAGTGAAGAAAAAACTTTGAGTTGCAGAGGTGAATGATTCAAGTTGGAGGATTCATAGTGGAGAATTCATGGTGGAGGATTCAAGTTGGAGGATTCATAGTGGAGGATTCGTGTTTGAAGAAAAAGTGCGACACCGCTAGTGGAGGATATCAGTTCAATGAAGAAGACGTTGTTGCTTGTGTATCGGTCTCCATGTGGGAGATTGTTAGCGCTGGAGCCCGATCCAGTCCTGCCTCCCGTTTCATGAAACAGCGCCAACTCACGCTCCTGCTCT